CAGCACCCAGCTTTAACACTCAGCAATGTTACTGTGGCTTCCTCTGTCTCTAGCCCCTCCCCCGCCCCATCCTATAGAAATGCCTCTGTCGCTTTGTTTTGAAAAGTGAAGTGACTGTGCAGCTTGGGCAGGCCTAGTGGTTGGTGGTGGTCCTTTCTCCCCGTAGCCCGTTGCACCTGTTCTCAGCAGTGCAGGCACATGTCTTTGGGCCATTGTCAGGGTGCGTGGGGATACCTGGCTCAGCCATTGTTTGCTGCCTGCCCACCTCTCCTCCTCGATCCTGTTTCTTCACTTGCATTCATGATGGTCTGGTCAAGAGCCAGGCCCACTGGCTTTCAGTCGCGGCTTTGAAAGACTGGGGTGGAGGTGGGGTTCTCTTTGGCCATCACAGTGACTAAGGATGTGCTACTGGCATTTTGGCTGGCTGGGGTCTGGGGCAGGGATGTAAGCGATGGCTCTGCACAGTGAATACCTGTCCCATCCACAGTCAGCCATGCTCCTGGGATCTCCCGGACGTGCAGTGTGGATCAGGGGATTTGATTGACTTTCTTTTGATGCCTTTTAAGGTTTCATAGTTTGATACAATCCCTTTGGCTCTACGTCTGCTTTGACTCAGGCAGTTAGGTGACTAGAACTAGCCTCGGGCCCTTTCTGAGGGTTCAGCAATTCGTGCAAACCCTTGAGCTGTATTGCAGGGACAAACAGGGTGTCCTGAGCCCGTGCCCCAGCTTTACATACTCTTTTTGCTCCTGTTCCAGCCTTATCATTGATGGAGGCACAGTGACATTCGGCCTGCAGGTCCTTCTCAGCTTCTGGCACCCCCCGGGCAAACCGCAAAAGGCCTGCTGCCTCCGGGGCCCGGGCTTGTTGGGCGCTGCCCGCCTCCCGCCGCCACCGCTTTGCAGGTGGTCGCCGATTGTCCCGTGTGCTGCTGGAGAGCCTCTGAGGGCAGCACTGGAAAGTCACAACTTCTGAGTTCTTTGTATTTCCAGCGTCACTCTAGATGGATGGCAGCCTTCCACTGCAGGAGATGAAATGTGTTCAGGCAACTCAGGCCCCAGGCACAGATGAGAATGGGCTCAGGGGCCTGGAGGAAGGGGCTGGGGGAGAAGCTGTGGGAGACTCGCAATTAGTCATTATTAATCTGTGACAGCTGCCAGCCCCAGGCACTTAGCAGCAGCCTGTGCCTCGGATGCAGGGGCTCTGAGCCTTTCTGGAAGACTCAAGGGCCTGAAGGCCTGTCTCGACTCGTGTGCTGTTCAGATCCCAGATCTGCATGGAAGAGGAGGTTGGGAACTTAGTGTGGGATGAGGGAAGCTTCCGGCTGACCCAAAACTCTGAATTTAGCCTGGGTGAGGGTTTCTTTGTGTGTGAGATGAGTTTTCGTGGTACCCTGTTCCAATAGGTATGATGGAATTAGCCAGTGAGAAAGGTGCTCTTTTCTAACCCTTATCCTGTCCTTCCGTGGAGGCTTGGAGGAGATTTCGGCGTAGCACCAGCGTGTCTTTAACATCTGCCTCTAAGGCCTGCCAGGGCCCCTTTCGCACAGCTGCAGGCGTGCTGCGGCATCTGCGTGGAAGCTGGTAATAGCGTATTGCTCTTTCTGGTTACCTTCTGTGTGCGGCGAGCGATAGTGATTTTCATGTGTGCTAGTAATAGGTTTCCTTTTGAAATACACGTTATGAAGAGGAAAAAGAGGAGGTGAATTTAAGAAAAGAACTGATGGGACAGGTAGATCATGTGCCAAGGTGGCAGACACCTTGAAGCTGCTTCCCAGGTGACCAAAGACTGGGCAGTGCTCTGGTACGTTTCCCATAGGCTTTTCCTTTCTGCTGAAGCCCAGGCCGGCAGTGCCAGGCTGGGAGTCTAACTGTGGGCCCGGGGTGCCGAGGCCGGAACTGGTGACAGCCTGTGGTTCGTCTCTCCCCTCCCTCCCTCCCTCCCTCCCTCTCTCCATTTCTCATTTGCTTATTCAGCAAACGCATTTCGAATGCCTTCTATGTGCCTGATGTTCTGCTGATTGTAGGCATAGCAAGGTGGTCTCTGCTCTGTAGAGGAGACAGACTGGCAAAACATAGGTGGGATTCAGTGTGACGAGTGTAGTCATGGACAGTGTGGGGTGAAATGGCCCTTGGTGCTTGATGTGACTGACACTGTCTTAAGAGGCAAGTTGCTCTTAGTGACCACCAGTTTACCCTGGGGGGTTATCACTGAAAGGATAGATAAGTAGGACCATTAAGTTGCTTACAGTCTAGTAACACATAGCTCTTAACAAGCGCCTGCCACTTGGCTAAAGGCCACCTGTGTTCCCAGTCACTGTATATACACACACACATCCATCCATACATCCATCCATCCATCCATACATACATACATACTCACACCCAGGCCCCATCCTCTTTCGGGTGGGGAGGTCCACAGCCTTGGTGCTGCCGGAGGTTCTGCTTCTCTCCATAAGTTCCCGTAATAAACTGTTAAATTCTGGAGTTGTCTGCTGCTTTCTCTGGTCTCTCATCCCTGTCCTTCTCTGGGGGTCAGTCTCAGTACACCTTGGGGAATTTTCCCAGCTGGGAAGGTACTGTAGACAGCACACTAAGTAATGAACGATCGCCTGGCACAGGGAGGTCGTGCTCCATGCTACTGAGTGAGTCAGGAGAGCTTCCTGGAGGAGGAGGTATTTGAGGTGGGTCTTAAAGAGTAAAAGAAAGCATAATTGTGTGTAGGTGCCCAGGCAGAGAAAGGGAGTTCTAGACAGAGGGCGTAGCATGCACAAGAGCATGAGAGCCTGAAGAAACGGGGGAGTTCAAGGTCTTATGTGTATCTTGGTGTGGCCGGAGTACAGAGGGCGCGTCTCAAACTTCTGCGTGCATACGAGTTACTTGGAAAGCTTGTTGAAGTGCCGGTTCTGAGTGAGTAGACCCGGGGCAGGACCTGCGACTCTGTGTCTGAGTAGCTCCGAGGTGGTGATGCCGCCACTGGGCTGCTGCCCACACCCGGAGCCCCTGGGCGCAGCGCTCATGGGACAGCAGTCACCGAACAGCAGTGACCCCGCATTGGCCTGCTGCTTCCTTGTATGCCAGGCCTGTGTCTGCCCTTCACAGGGCAGTCTCCTTAACCCTTTGCACCAGCCCTGTGCGGTGGGTAATTAGGATTATCCTCGCCTTACACTTGGGGAAACTGAGGCACAGGCAGGCCAGTAACTTGGCAAAGCAGCTCAGGTTAGAGGCAGGCCTCCACGAACTCAGAGGAGGAGGCTCAGTGCCTTGTTCCGAAAAGCCTGGGCTTGACCCGAAGGCAGAGGGAGAAACTGCAGGTGATTCAACAGGGAGGCCTGGCGAGACGCTCCCTTTGTGGAACTCGCGCGGGCCATGCGCCCTCTGCAAGCAAAGTGTTGCGGGAGGTTTGTTTCTTAACACACCTTTGCTGTTCTGCCCAGTTTGTTTTGAATCCAGCAGCTAATTATCCTGCAGTTGTAGCTTTTGTTAATGTTTTTCTTTGTTGATTTTTAAGTGATTAAGTCAGTTCATAGTATTTGGACTTTTTTGAAATCCTCTTAATGTCTAAAAATCAAGATGGAACCTCCTTCTTAATAACAAGCAAATATTCCTCAGTAATATGGCTCACAGTTCAAAGGAAATGCCAGCTTGGAGAACGCAAATGGCTTTAATCTACAGTCATCTAAAAAATTTGAATGACCTTTTTCATTGTCAGAGTTCTGTGCACGTTGTATTTTAGTTCTTCCCAGGTTTCAGCTAGCTAAACACTTTTGTTATGAGCTGTGCATCGAGGCCGAATATTGCATTTTGAAACTGAGAGTCAAATAGCAATTTAAACTCCTTTCACACCTGTCTGTGAAATTCAGATAAATGAAATGGAAACAACAGGGCTGCTGTGTTAGAAAATACTGACTCTGTCAGTTCTTACAGAAATCTTTAAGGCATAACCACTTTGGCGTTGATTTATTATACACACACACACTTTTCATTTTCATCTGCTTTTCACTTTCTTGATTTGCACAATTGTGATTTCCCATTACATATTCGGCTTGTTTGAAACTAACAGTCCCTTAAAGAGGCCTTTTTTGTAATTTTGAAAATGAAACCTGCCCCTTGAAAATGCCTCAGCCTGGCTTGCCCACCTTCTGCCTGTTTCTGCAGCCGGTCCTTCTCCCCTCTTCCCCATGTCCCCTCTTCTGCTGGGGCCAGTCCCGCCATGGCTGCGTGCTTCAGTCTCTTCTTTCCCTGCTGGCGTCCCCGCCTCCCTGCCCTGCAGAGGTGTCCTTCCTGACCACTTACCTCAGGATCCTGTGTTCTCAGCGCCACTCTCTGGCTGGGGAGATGTGGGCGGTGGGCAGGTGTCTGCATGGACGCAGGCCGGCCGGCCATGGCACTAACATGGGTTTCTGGCACAGGAAGACTTTATTGAAGCCTTGCTAACAAGGCTTGCGTGCCCACGGCCCAGGCCCAAACCACTTCTACTGCCTTCTGGTATCCGGCATATACTGCTGACGTGTATGTGGCTTGCTCTGAATTAAACAACGAACACCTTCTCATAACCCTACTAACTTGAACAAGAACCCCGTTGCTTTTGGGTGTATAGCTTTCTGCCATGTCTTACATGCGAAGACAGACATATGGCCTACGCCATACACTGTTTCGCATGGTTGAGCTTTTCACTTGACACTGACGCTGATTATTTTTCCAAGGCACGAAATACTCTCCTAGAACATCTTTTAAATAGCTGTAGAAAGTTCTTTTGTGTGAATGAACAATAGTGTTATTTGGGCAGCTGTTTCCTGTTGGACACGTATGTTGTTTCGAATGTTTTGCCCCTGTTGGTACAGTGTTAGCATGAGCATTGTCACAGGTATTGCACAGGACTGTGAACATTTCCCAGGATAAGTTCCTTAAAGCAGAAACGGAGCCAAGCTTTTTTTTTAAAGCTTTTTTTTTTTTAAAAAGCTTTGACACATAATCATATTTACCTTTGTTTCTCTCTAGACACTACAACAACAGGAGTGCAAACTTCTCTACAGCCGAAAAGAGGGCCAGAGGCAAGAAAATAAAAACAAAAATAGATATAAAAACATCTTGCCCTGTGAGTATCAATATTCTTCTCAGTCCCAGTCACTACAGTCCATCCACGTGTGTGTGGCAGTCTTTCATTTTTTGTATACATATGCACACAAACATGGTGTATATGGGTATCACATCCATGTGGATTATTTGAAATGTATAGGTCAGGATGGGAGAGTGTGGAGGCACTTATGATGCTGGGAAAAGGCAATGAGGACTTAGCTGGGAGTCAGTTTGAGCCCCAGCGTGGTCCTAATGGCCTTGGGGAAGCCTCATCCTTTTCATGTCTAAGTGTTCACTTGTGCTCAGGAGGTCTAATGGGGCTCGTTGGGAAGATGTAGGGATGTAGGAAGAGATGGAGGGAGCAGTGGTGCGCAGTGTCCAAATACAGCACGACTGCCCCTTCCGCCCTTAAAGATCCCAGTTAGACGTTTCCCCTGATTAACATCTTGCTTTCAAGATGGGGAGTGTGAGGCAAAAAGAACATTATTTTTAAGACATACAACTATGTTACTAATTTCCATTGTACAATATGTTGCTTAGAGCCCTCAGATTTGTATACCACTTATGCAGACTTTGGTCAGCTCATACATCAGGATCTTCTAGATTCCATGTTTCGTTCTGCTCCATTAAAAAACCCTTTTTATTATGAGACAATTCATATGGATTCAAAAGTAGACAGAATAGTGTGAAGAACCCCCATGTACCCGTCTCCCAGCGCTAGTAATCGTCAGCTCATGCCAGTCTCGCTTCATCCACACTCTGACCGCTTCTTGTCTCTCCCCAAATTACGACAATTTTGAAGCGAATCTCAGATGTTACATCATTTATCTGTACTTTATTCTCACCCCCTTTTTTTTTTAAAAAAAGCCCAACTTAAAAAAAAATTTTAGATCCACTAGAAGTTGTAAAAACATTTCGAGGTCTCATGTACCCTTACCCAGCCTCTCCCAGTGATCACATCCTGCGTTGTCCACACCAGGAGGGTGACGTTGCTACTTTGTTCCTCTTACAGGTAGCATTCTGAGGCATCCTGTGGCGTGCAGGTTATTATTGTGCTTACTTAGGATTTAATTTTTCATGCAGTTTTATCATTAAATGAACAAAACTTGGATGAGGTTGAGGATGCCCTGATTTGAACCAGTTTGCCCTGAAGAGGTCTGAGTATTTTTGTGACCGTGGTCTCTTTTTCTTCCAGTCGATCATACCAGGGTTGTCCTGCATGACGGTGACCCCAACGAGCCTGTTTCCGATTACATCAATGCAAATATTATCATGGTGAGCTTAGCTTTTCACGATGTCTTCTGACCATACATGGCTGGCCTGTTTTTTATTTTAAATCCTTTCTTGGGTCCTGAAAGCAACTTTCAAACGTTTGATGTATTTTCTTCCTAAATTCCTAGCCCGAATTTGAAACCAAGTGCAACAATTCAAAGCCCAAAAAGAGTTATATTGCCACACAAGGCTGTCTGCAGAATACGGTGAACGACTTTTGGCGGATGGTGTTTCAAGAGAATTCCCGAGTGATTGTCATGACAACAAAAGAAGTGGAGAGAGGAAAGGTATATTGCATACATTTTTGATAAAATATTTTAAAATTACTGGTCACATCAGGTTTACCATGTTAAGACTTGAATAAAATTAAACTTAAGCCAGCTGAGCCTCTGGGAAAAAGGGCTTTGAAGAAATTTGATGATGGCGTGCCTTAGTGTAGCTTTCTTCAGGTTTCTTCCCCTTTGGGGTTCATTGAGCCTCTTGGATCTGTGGATATATGTTTTTTTCTTTTTTCAAATTTAGGAAATGTTTACCATTTCTTCAGATATGCACCCTGCCCCCGCCCTGTCCTGAGACACCAATTTCACGTATAGTAGGCTGTCTGAAGTTGTCCTACAGCTCACTGAGCCTTTGATCTTTTTTTATAGTTCTCATTCTTCCCTTCTGTGTTTCATTTTGGATGGTTTCTTCTCCTATGTCTTTAAGTTAATCTTTTTCTTCTTCAGTGTATTATCTATTAGTCCTGTTTAGTATATTTTTCATTCAGACATTGTCCTGTTCATCTCTGGAAGTTTTATTGGAGTCTTTTTAAGTGTCTTCTGTGTCTTTTTCACATGTGTATCATTCCCTATACCTTTTAACATGTGGAATACACTTATAGTAACTTTTAATGTCCTTGTTACTGATTCTGTTATATGTGCTATTTAATTTTTCCAGTTTTTTGGTTGTTTAAAGTGGGAGGGTAAATCCAGCCCTGTTACCATTTTATCCAGAAGCAGTGGTCAAAAAAGGAGTATAAGAAGGCCAGTCTAGTACTTTACTGTGAATAGAGCACTAATAAATCAACAGCGATTTCTCTGGTCATGTACACTGTACTTATCATGGCTTTTAAGCATTTAAAAATTAACTGGACTTATTTGAACAGTGGGCTCATATAAATATTCAGACACAGTTGAGGTTAAAGTTGCCTTCGTCACCGTCCTCTGCTCACCCATTTTAGTCCCCTCCTCTAACATCGACCCCATTTGACATGTGTTATTCTGCACTCTCTTCTTGGCATTTACATACCTAAGTGTATTAAAGCGATTACTATGGCATTACATACCTACAGGAGGTATCCGGACATGTAATATGAAAAATAGAGACATTTACTGAAGAAGATACAAGAACCCCTGGGACAATGGCGCCTCAGTCCCCTTCAAAGTAGGCACCTTGGGACCTCACACAGGTCTCCCAGTTGCCGTCAGCTGCCCCATTGTATTTTCTTGAATCTCATTGATGGTCTGAAATTTCTCCCCTTTCAAAGGTGATTTTAGTTTTGGGAAAAGCCAGAAGTCGCAGGGCGCCAAATCTGGGCTGTCGGGGGGCTGAGTCACCTGGGTGATTTGATGTTTTGCCAAAACACTTATGCACGAGATGTGATGCATGAGAGAGTGCGTTGTGATGAAGCTGCCAGTCACTAGTTGCCCACAGCTACAGCCTCCTGAATCATCAGAACAGTTTCGGTGGAGGAACGTTCAAGCTTAATGGAAAATTTGATGCAGATTCGTTGCTCTACTCGCTGTCATTTTGAAGGTGACAGCCACACGATATGCATGCTCACTCAGTGGCATCTACCGCTTCCATGACTAGTACAGTGAAATCATCATTGTTCACACATGCGCTTTCCAGTCCACTTGCCTTGGATGCCAAGACAGCCATCAGTGTCGTGCAGACCGTTCTCATTACATGAACAATAGCTGCACGTTTTCCGGACAAGCCTTGTATATTCCTTTACGTACATGTATGTTCCTATAGAAGTATATAGTAGTTTTCTGAAAAATACTGTATGAAAAAGTAGTTTCATAAAGTAACTTTATTGTGCATATTGGTTTTTCTTTTCCCTACTAAATATATGTTCGACCTTCTGTTAATAGATACTGGTCTGCCTCATAGTAATTGCATGATATTTTGTGGTGTATATGGACCAGGTTTATTTACCATTATGCACTGGGCATTTAAGGGTTGCTGTTTTCGCTTTTAGGAACAGTGCTGTAGTGAGCAGCCTTGCTCTTCCTTTTGTGTTTGTGTGGGGAGTGTCTCTCCAGGATGGATGTCAAGACTTGTGAGGTCGTAGCGGTGTATGTCGTAAATGGATATAAGTCCTGCCAGACTGCCTTCCAGAGCAGTTGTCCCGGTGTTCACGCCCCCCGCAACTCCGGTGCCTGGCACCCGTCTCCCCACGCTCTTCTCAGCTCTTCAGGTTTTTAGGAATTGTAACATCCCCACTTACAGAGAAGCAGACAAGTCTCACAGAGTGTGAGCTCTGTGGGTTATCCCAAAGTGAGCCTGTCCACACAGGTTTTTTTAAACATGGAAAAGTTCTGTATTTTTGTTTGTATTCTAGTCAAAGTGATTTTTTAGATACACTTGAATTGGTTTCCACGAAAGTTGCATGGGATATAGCAGTCGTACACGTACATTAAACCATAGACAGGTGGGAGGCTTTGGATTTTAGCCCTGCTGCTGTAACTTCCTTAGAGTCATGAAGGGCTGTGTGATTCTACAAGATTTTCATTGCACTGGCAGTTGGGACACTTCTGAGTGCCTTGCAGCCTGATCTGGTCACTGTGAAACAAAGGTTTCCTGCAGCGACAGCCGCTGTTCTTGAAGTAATGGACGAGTCCACATGTCTTCCTCGTTTCCGCCTCAGGTGGGCGTCACCTGCCCTGAGGATGGAGGGGACTGCTGAACCCTCTGTCCTGCATGCTGTCCGATGGAAGGTAGAGGAGGCCACCTGTTTCTCAGAACAATGTGAGGGCCATGGAGACAGGGTGCCCTGTCACTGCAGAGGACCCAGGATCAGTCCCTTTCAGAAGAGCTGCCAGGAGCCCCGAGAACGCACACACCTTGCGCCGGCCGCACTGTCCCACCCCCTCGTCCCAGCCACCCGCTTTCCTGTCCTTCCTCCTGGCCGTGTGGGTGGAGCGGCTGATGGGGCTTTCACAGGCTCCCCGGCCTTTCTCACGCCCTGCTCTGCCAGTGAGCATCACCCCCGCCCCACCCTCCGCGCGGAGTCAAAACCGGACTCTGGGTTCCTTTCGATCCCTGGGCTGTCATTTAAAAGCTAAAGTATTAGCCCTCACAGTTGAGATTTTTTTGAGGGGAGGGGTCAAGGCTTACCTAAGAGTTTGGAAAAGTGGGAGGCAGGCTGCAGTCGTTTGCCGCTGTTTAAAGTCAGCTGAAATTTTTGGAGTTTATAGAGTTTTTAGAGCGGGGATTGGATTTTGTGTTCTCCGGAGGCACAGCCATCCTCCGAATTGGTTAGCCAGCAACAACAGCCTTGAGTGCAACTAGTATTAAAAGTGTTTATTTGGAGAAAAAAATGTATTGAATCTGTCAGAGGGTACTGGGATCTACAAAACACTGGAGGGAAAGCTGAATTTAAAAAACTAAACACTAAAAGACCCCAAGCTGTGCTAAGTCAAAAAGTCTCACCAGGCAGTAAATGCTTCTGTAGAACTTTCCTCCCCCATGTTTTTCTTTTCTTTCAATGACTGTTGACAATGGGGCCAGTCTGCAGCCGCTCTTTTACTTCTCATTTTATAACTGGGAATTTCTTTGTCTCCTTATTGTACAGGGAAATTTTCTTGTGCTGCTGTTTGTTTCTCAGTTGAGGAAAGGGAGTTGCATTGGTGACTGCGCCCAGAGAAAAGCCAAACACAAAACCATTCTTTGCCCACGTCACCACGTGTGTGTAGACTCGCCTCTCACCGAGAGGAACATCTTCCTCTTTGGCAGCAAGGGCGACTTTTCTTGGTGCCATATCTTTCCATCTGGCTGCTGAGAAGCCAGCAGTTCTCGCATGCTTGGGCCCAGGCACCCAGTTAAGCGAAGGTGACGTGTGCAGTAGGTAGCAAATGGATCTGGATATAGCAAAGGCAGCTGGTTCAGAGGCCCATCGGCTGCCTCTCCGCGCTGGAAGCATTCACACTTGGGTTAGGTAAGGCGCAGAGCCCTCCCACGCTGCAGGGAAACGAGCCAGACTGTCTGGCCTGTTGGGCAGCCCGTCCACCTCCGGAGTGACTGGCAGCCTCCAGCATTCAAAACAGCGGTTGCTAGTCAGCACCCTCGACCTGGCTGTTCCCTCTGTTTGCATCTTTGATTCTTTAGAAATAAATAAACAAGCACTGACTCTCCTTTGACTTGTATGTTGATCGGACAACTCTGCACAGGTGGCTTTTTCTCCCCTCTTCTTCCCAGTTCTCCAAGCACCAGCTTTTAAAATGTGAACTTTTCTCTCATTTTTCTGGGAAATCCAACAGTTCAGTGTTAGGCCATTTTCCATGTTAGTGGTCACTAAGCAAGACTTGAACATTTGCTTCCTGCCGGTCTAGGCTTTTCTTTCAGAGTTCACAGACACTAACTGTCTTTTTTCTGATCCCTTCCAGAGTAAATGTGTCAAATACTGGCCTGATGAGTATGCTCTGAAAGAATACGGGGTCATGCGTGTTAGGAATGTCAAAGAAAGCGCCGCCCATGACTATACGCTAAGAGAACTTAAACTTTCCAAGGTTGGACAAGTAAGTATATTGTCATGTCTTAGAGCCTTTGTTAAGCTTTCATGACATGTGGCCACCGGCGCTGCGCCGGTGCTCACGTTTACATGCATTCATCCCCTGGCCCCCGCAGCAGCCGGTTATGCGGTGCCTGCTGTGGGCCAGGCACTTCTGAGGTGCTGCTGGTACATAGCAGACAAGGCGCACAGCCTCTGCCCTCACAGAGCCTCGGAGACAGGAGGTGGAAGGCTAATGGACCAGCTAAGCTTTCTGGGTGGGCTCTCTGTGATGATACGAGCGAGGGACCAGGTATTGGAGATGGAGTAGACAGGGAGGGCCTCTCTGGGGAAGTATCCCTTGAGCCGAGACCTGAAGGTGGAGGAGCCAGGCATCCAGAGAGTCAGGAGAAGAGGGTCTCAAGCACAGGGAGCAGCCAATGCAAGGGCCCTGCGGCCTATTGAGTGATCACATTCCATGGCCTTGTTTCTTAATTGCATGTAGTTCAGGTTTGTCCTTGGAGTGACTAACTTTACAAAGTGCAGTTGGATTTGGATTCATTTAATGTTATGGTTAGAGAGGGGCTTTTTTATTCAAAGCCTTTGGGGACACAAAGGTGAATGAAGCAGCCTTTGTCTTCAAGGAATTATTGTACGATCGCATAGCAGCAAAAAGCCACGTACACAGAAGGCCATGCTCCAGAGGCGACGTGGGCTCTCCGCCGCGTCTGAAGTGCCGTGACATTGCCAAGGCTGAGCTTCTTCCGGCCCGTGCGCCAGGGAGACAGCCTGCAGAAGAGGTTGGGCCCTTGGGTGGGGATTTCATGGGAGAAAGGGGCCTCCCAGACAGAAGTGTCATCGCGAACCATGGTGCTGAAGTGCAGGCTGCAGGGAAGTGGGGTTCATGGGGAACAAAGGCCAGCGGGATGCTAGGGGATAAACTTGAGTTGAGACAGGTTAGGACCAAGTCGGGATGAGTCTTAACTGCCATGTTGAAAAATATGAACTTTATCTATTGGTTGGCATAGAACCTGTGATGGTTCTTGAGCCAAGTGAGCCCTTGCAGAATCGAGTGCCAGGAAGGTGTCTGACCACTGTGGGGGTAGGAGCGGGATCGGCATGGGGGTTCCTGATGGCCAGAGTCTGTTCGGGACTCTGCAGTGGTTTAAGTCTCATGGCCTCCTCTCCACCTATCCCAGAGGCTCCCACAGTTGTTTTGTTTGTTTTTTCCTCCTTATTTCTTCCTTTGGCAATGTGCATTTTGTTAAAATGCCAGAATAAAGTCTGGAAGAAAAGTCTGAGAGGTGTCTTTTAAGGGGGGACACACAATTCTTCTGACAGTGGGGAGGGGTGGCGGTCTGGCCTGTCGCAGGGACTGAGCGGAGCCAGGAAGTGGAGCTGTCACGCGGAAATGCAAGAGAGACTTAGGGGACATTGGGTGAAGATTCGGGGTAGGGTTTTCCTCTCTATCCAGTGTTTCTGAGTAGCAGATTCATTTTTCTTCAGTTTTAGTGATAAACCATCTTCCTTTCAGAGATTTTTGAGCTGCGGGCACAGGGAGTGTTGACGTTGGGGTTTCCGTGTTGCACCCTCGATGCGGGGGGTGACCTGGAGCAATCATTTCTCCAGAATCGCTGGTCACATATTATCTGCTTTTTATATAATGTCACATTTTTTCTAAAGTGCTGTCACATGGCCTTGCCTAAGCCTCCGAACTGCCTGGGGGCGGGGCAGAGGCCCCCTCGTGACCTTTGCCGAGGAGGAGGCTGGGTGAGCAGGCAGCTGGGTCTCTCTCCTCTCCGCACTGTCCTTCCTGTGACTGGGTTGCCCCTTGAGTACTAGCTCACTGGTAACATTTAGAAAGATCTTTTTCATGACATCAGCAAATTAAATGCACATAATTCAAGAAAAGATCTTAACTGTGGCTCAGATTCCTTGGCTTTCCTGAAGGGCACTGGTTGTAGACACTGGTCAAGTCACTCTTTCCTTTATTTATTTAAAAAAAGATTCTATTTATTTCTAGAGAGAGAGAAAAGAGAGGGAGAGAAACACTGATCGGTTGCCTCTTGCACGCACCCCAACCAGGGACCTGGCCTATGCCCTGCCCAGGAATCAAACTAGTGACTTTTTACTTTGTGGGACAACGCTCAACCAACCAAGCCACGCTGGTCAGGGCTCTCTCCTTTTTCTAAAACCCCTTTTTAAAATGTTTCTCAGCTCGGATTTTCTTCAGATAGAGAGAGGAAGGAGATGGAATGGTGGACAGTGCTGCTCAGTGACCTAACCTGGGTGGGCCCAGAACACGATGCTTTTGGGTCTTCTGCAGTCTTGGGACCACCGCTGGCCTTTAGTAGTGATCACTCTCCTCAGAGGAGCCTGTGTGCTGAGCCTCTGCCCATCTCACTGTCCCCAGCAGAGCAGTGGCTGTGTGTTTAATGGCTCTTGCTGAACCCTCACAGTGGTATGCGGGGGGGAGAGGTAATTCTCCCCATCTGCAGAGGAAGAAATTGAGGCCTAGAGATGTCCAGGCGCCCCAGTCAGGGTGCTTGCTGGGCTTTGGGCCTACATCCAGCCACCTGAGGGCAACGCCTGTCTTCACATCTACTTTGTGCTCAAGAGAAGTTTCAAGCATTGTGATACTGTAATAACGGTGTGTGGCTCGGTGTGTGGCTCGGGGAGGGGAGGAGGTTTGGGTACAAAAGGACAAAGAGGAACGAGTGACTTGAGGGAACACCTGTTTTCTCATCTGCTGGGAGGAGCCCTGGGTCTCAGGGGCCTCCTGGCCTCCCGGCTTTAGGAACTCCTGGACGAGGAGGGTGGGGCGTTGCCCACGGCTGTGATCCAGAGGCTGGTGTGGGCGGGAGCTTCCTGAAGAAAACGCTGCTGCACCAGGCACCTGGGTGCTTCGGACAGAGGCAGAGCGTTGTCTCCAGAGTGGCTCTGCCAGATCCTCAAGGAGAAGTGACCCGGGAAACTTGGAGGAGCACCTTTGACTCCAAGAGTGTGAGGGCCTTCTTTGCCGGACAATCCCTTCGGCTCACGTCGAATCCGAGAGAGCGAAGCTGGGCAGTGCCTCAGTCCCTTGATTTATTTAATTCTTGTCTGGTTTTTCTTGGCTCTACTCCAGGGCAATACAGAGAGAACCGTCTGGCAATACCACTTTCGGACCTGGCCGGACCACGGCGTGCCCAGTGACCCCGGGGGCGTGCTGGACTTCCTGGAGGAGGTGCACCACAAGCAGGAGAGCATCGTGGATGCGGGCCCGGTGGTGGTTCACTGCAGGTGAACAGCCTTCCCGCCCCCTGGCCCCCTGGCCGTCTCTGAACGCCTGGGGCTGCTTCTGACCTCCCCACCCCAGCTCTCTAACTGCGGAAAACCTTAATCTCTGTGTGAGGCCTGGATACACTGCATTAAGGCAGCCTTTTACGCCAGAGTATATTTCTCGTAGGTCCTAGAGGACTGCCAGGGCCCCGGGGGTGGGGAGACTGGGCTGGTGAACACGGTCCGTACTCTCAAGGAACTCCTAGTCTGGTGGTGTTTGCTTGGTTTTCTTTTTCAATAGAGTGATTTAGGGTTCATCTCTGTGATTGTGATTCTAGTCTTTTGTGCCACAGAAATGAGATATATTTTTTCCCAACAATATACTTATTTGCTTAAAAGAGTAGGACCGCTGCCTGCCTTCTGTAAGCCAGTCCGGAGGTCTCCACCACAGAGTCTGCAGGCTGTTGGTGCCCGGGATTGGGCTTCCCAGTCACATTGGGGAAAGCCTGGTTTTCTAAATCTCATTCATGTGTTGGGCAAGTAGATGTGTATGAAACTTTATTTGTTCTATTTTTTAAAAGCTGCTGCTTATTGAGCACTTGCTCTGGACCTGGTGTTTTGCATACCTTACTCACGTTTGATCATCACAACAACTCTGTGAAATATGTAGTTATCCCCATTTCGCAGTTGAGGAAACTGAGGGTCAGGGGGGTTAAGAGACTTTGCCCCAGGCACACTGCGTGTTGGGGAAGCTGGGCTCCTAGTGCAGGCTGGACTGACTGCAAAGCCCTGTGCTCTTAGCAAATACATTTTCCAATATGAGTAGACACTCGTATAAATGCTCCCAAGAGCAGATGTTGGTTCTGTTACTATTAATAGCTTGGTTTTGAGTATAAACCCCCACGAATGACTCTATTGCCGTCACTGTCCGTCTTTCTTCCCGCAGTGCTGGGATTGGCCGGACAGGGACGTTCATCGTGATTGATATCCTCATTGACATCATCAGAGAGAAAGGTAGGTCATCCAGAGGACAGGGAGCTGCAGTTCCCGTTTGTAGCTTAGGGACAGAAAGTGCTGGAGAACATTTGAATGTTAAAAATTTACATGAAAATCTGGGCTGAAGGCTTCAACTTTCAGTATGTTTGCAGGAAAACAGAAGTGATGCTGTCTGAGCGTTTTTTTGCCTAAGATGAAGCCCAGGATCTGGGGAACCCCCTGCTGTGGCCTTTTGTTGAATATGCAGTGGTGGTCTCTGCCCAGCCACCCACTCCTGGCTGATGGCAGGGGGTGCTGGAAAGGGGGAACCCTACCTCCAGCACTTTATCATGTAATCATCTGGGGTCATCAGTGTTGAGCAGAAGGCCAGTGCTGTGGCGCTTGGAACACGTTCGGTCAGGACGTTAAAGACCACATTTGCTTTACGTCCGAGGCTGCTGAAAGTCGTGCATCAAACCACTTTACCCCGGCTCTGCCGGCTCTCCTGATGCTGTGTGGTGCTTGCTTTGTAGGCGTCGACTGTGACATCGATGTTCCCAAAACAATTCAGATGGTGCGATCTCAGAGGTCAGGGATGGTCCAGACCGAAGCACAGTACCGATTCATCTATATGGCCGTCCAGCATTATATCGAAACACTACAGCGCAGGATTGAAGAAGAGCAGGTACGGAGCCTGAATGGGCTGACGGGCGGCATTTTGTTTCCTTTTCTGGGCAGCTGGCGAATGCCCTTCTTTTGATCAGGTCAGGCTCAGAGAGCTGACGGTGTTTCTTTGGGAGTGGGGAATGAGTTCCCAACCAGAAGGGGCCTCTCTGAAAACTTCTTTACTTCACGGCTCTGATTTTTCAGTCCGGAGGGGCATAGGCAGGGGTGCCGCGCTGCCCTCCTGGCCTGATAGCTTCGGGAGGTGCCACGCAGGAAGGGGAGGGTTTTCCCAGGCCCACACAGCATGCTTAGGCGCAGAGCCTCCAAGTTTCCAGCCTGTTCCAGTTTAATCCGGGCCATATTTATCCTGATGCCATCTCTTAAGTGAATGCTTTACTCTTAATAGCATACAGTGGTTTGAAACACCAATTTGGTCGAGTTGGAAACAGTGAAATTTCCATTTTAATAAGCATGCATAATGAAGAAGAATGTGGCGCTGGAGCCTTGCCATTTGAAGCTATTCATAACAGACACAAAGCTGAGTTAATTAGGAAGAAGCTGAGATGAGGGAAATGAGGAGACTGCGCTTTTGGGGAGCTGTGCTCGACTCCCCCCCACCCCCCATCCCAGCCCCATGGCTGTGCTGCAGGCGGGGTCATGTGTAAACATCAGTGATATTTACCTGCTCTGCCCTGTTTATTGCCTTCCAGAGAACTCGGCCTCTCAGAATGGGACCCGCCACCCGCCCGCATGATTTGTAGCCTACAGACAGTAGCCCCATTATCAAAGCTGTTAGCCAGAGCTAGTTCATTAGTTCGGTAGGTTCTCAGTTCACGCCAAAATACTCACTAGATTGTCTCATTGTAGAAAAACATCTTCAGAAACAGTATACATACAGAAATGTAAGTGCGCATAATAGATGAGCTACTGGTTTTTAACCTTCTTCTTTTAAATCTGTGTTATTGTAAGTGCTATGAACTATATAGATGGTTATGATATATTTATCTTCCAGTTTTACTTAATTTGGGCCAGGGATAGTTAACACATGAAGTTGCCCAAAGAGGAGGACTCTTAATGAACACAAAGAGAATGTGCCCCTGCTGATAAACTGGAAACTCTTTGGCAATGTCTCAAAGCACATAACGTAGCCTGGGTGGGGGAAGCGGGGGAAAAGCTCTATTTCTTTCAGAGGCTTTGGTTTTTATTCTTGATTTGGAGAATTTAGGGACTTCCCCTCCCAGCTTTCACAGCACTTCCTGTCTTCTCATTACTACATACAGTTTTGCTAACCCTAAACCTGAGGTTATAGTTTGGATTTACAAACTAAACAGAAATATTTTATCGCTGCCCTCTTTTGGGGGAAAGAAATAGACAAAACATATTCTCCAGTAATTTAAGTATTATGGAACATAGAGTATAGAAACTGGCCCTGGCCTGGTAGCTCAGTTGGTTAGAGTGTTGTCCCAATATGCTGAGGTCGTGGGTTCAATCCCTGGTCAGGGCACATACCAAAAATCAATCTATTTATTGATGCAAGTGAATGCATCAATAAATGGAACAACAAATCGATGTTTCTCTCTCCTTTTTTCTCTCTAAAATTAAAGAAAAAGACCTAGGATATAGACTGTAGAATATAAACAAAGTCCCTGGTAATCCCACGCCAAGAGAACTTGGAAGTGTGCGTTCATTCATTTGTTCATTCAGCCAATAAGTTTTTGGTGCCATGCGAGCTGCCACAGTGCTGAGCACACTGACCACTATATGGTATGTGAGCCTTCATAGCTTAAAAAACATGTGTTGGCTTAGATCATTTATTTTAATAAATGGGGTCCTGTAATACAGTTTTCTGCCTTGTATTGTTTCATTGTAGGAACTCGCTACTGATTTTGAATTGGTAAAGTAAGAAGTACTTTCAATTAGCAAAAGGTTAAAGGCAGACTTAAAAACAAAACACTAAACCCATCTGATTTTTACATTAAACAAAGGACCAAGTCTCATTTAGGATAACTGGTTCTATTGAAATACAGGCATTTCCAAAATGATGAAGCTTTAGGAAACTTTGGGATTAAAGAATTTGGTAAAGAGGGATAAATGGAAGAAAGAAAATGAGCCATGGTGGGGGGGGCGCGGGGGGGAAGGAGTGGGGAAACAGGGAGCCCTGGGAAGGAGGCGGAGCAGAAACCTGGGTCGGGGTCCGGGGAATGCAAATGAAGCGAGACTGAGACAATTCTGGAGTTTGTATCAGTGGTTCTTCTCACTCTCTCTGCCATTTCAAAGTAGAATTCTTTATTAACTTCCACTTACAGTATTACATTTTTATTTGCAAAAAACAGTATGTGGACTTCCCTTCACTCAACTTTTCTGACTGTTCACATTTTAACACAATTTATTATTCATTCACATTCCCTCATCTCTCTCTCCCCCTGACTCCATAACCATAGTAAAATTATCAAAACCAGGAAATTAACATTGATATAATACTATTTCCTTAATTTACAAACTGTATTCAGATTTTGCTGATTTGCCTGACTAATATCCTGTATGTGGTCCTGGGTCATACGGTGCATTTAATTGCCATGTCTCTTCAGTCTCCTGTAATCTGGAATAGTTTCTCAGTTTTTATCTTTCATGGCCCTGATATTTTTGAAGAGCTCAGGCCAGCTATTTGGTAGAAGGCCCCTCAGTGTGGACTTGTGTGGTGTTTTTTCTTGACTAGATCCGGTCGCGTGTTTTCGACAGGACTGTCACAGAAGCGTGCGTCCCTGACATCGGGCACCATCTGTTGGTTTGTTTCATTACCAGTGGTGTTAACTTTGATCGCTTCATGATTGAGATGTGGTCGGTCAGATTTCTTCACTGTCAACTTACTATTTTTCCCTTTTTAATTAGTACCAAGGCTATATAAATAACCGATTTTTCATCATACTTTTTGCCTACTAATTTAACACCCATTCACTTCCTGGCAAAATCACGCCCGTGATACCTGCCCAGCGGTCATTTTCTCTCCCTGTCATCGCCTTTCCGCTGATCAGTCGGAAGCCTGCTATGAAGGAAAAGCTTCCTGGTCTCTCTTAGTTATTTACTCATTTATTTACTTATGTCAGAATGGACTATAATCTGTTACTTTTATTTATTTTGTTGCTTAAATTGTCCCAGGTTTGGCGAGGGCAAACCTTTTAGGTTGTTTCCTAAGTCCTTTAGATATGTCCCCGTTTTTTGAGCACTCCCTTATACTTTCTGACAGCACAAGATGATACAAGTTCACTTTGTACTTTCCCAGCCACTTTTCAAAGGAGTCCTGATTCTTTTCATTGAAGGGCTGGTATTTTAAAGCCAAGATCTGGGTACTGAGTGTGCCTATTTGTGCTGGTCTATTTTTTTTGAATTGCTAATTAGCCAATTACCACCTGAGTCCTGCTCTCTCTGTAACCTCCCATATACATATGCAACTCTTTGTCCCCTCTCCAGTAGTTTCTTTAAGCAAATGTTTTATTTCAGAATAATTTTTAGATTCACAGAAAACTTGCAAAGGTAGTATAGAGAGTTTCTGTTCACCCTCCATCCAGTTTCCTTTAATGTTAACATCTTATAAAACTGTGTACGTTCATCAAAAAGGCAAAATTAAAACCAATACATTGCTATCAATTCAGCTGTATAGTTTTTCCACTAATAACCTTTTTCTGTCCGAGGATCCTCTGAGCTGTGATGGTGCCTGAGTCTTTGCCAGCTTTTTGTGACTGGGGCGCTTTTGAGGAGCACTGGTCAGCCCTCTGTGGTCCTCTTCCCAAACCCCTCAGCTGCAGTGTGCGGAGGCCTGGGCGGTGTTGTTTCTGCGTGAACCAGGCGGTTCACACGGTTCTTCATTCCTGCACTAAAGCAGGTGGCGCCGTGGGCCAGACTGCGCCGGGCCACAGAACAGAAGCGGCCGTGTTTCTGAAATGGAGGCGAGCTGTGGCTGGAGTTGGGGGAACCCGAGGGGCCGTGGCGTGTGGTGGTGCGGGTGGGAGAGTAGGCAGAGACTGAGTTTTGAGGGGGCAGGCCTTGCAGAGGAGTGACATAAAAGACCCTCATTTTACAAAGAGGGCTGTGGCTTGAGGGGAGGAACGGGTGGGCTCCGGGCCTGAACAGCTCGAGGGGGACCAGGTAGCGCATCGGTGACGGTTTATGTGGGCGGGGTGAGTAGACACCAAGGAGAGAAGCAGAACCAGGAAGATTTTGTGATGATTCGTAAGTGTTCAAGGTTGTACGAGATCTGTCTTTTCGTTGTTACTAGACACTAACTAGTTAGTACTGCCAGTACTGACCAGTTGCACGGCCAAGCGATGGTCCTAGTTTACCCTCTCCCGTGCGGTGAATGGAAGCTCCTCAGCTGCACGTCGGTATTTGGTATGGATGCCCGTTCTAACGGGCTGTTTGCTGAGTTCTCCTGCAATGAGTGCAGCATCATATAATGATGGCAGTTGGGTGGATTAGGGTTCTGGAATTGGTTATTTGTGGATGAATTCTAACTTGAGTCCTACCAAATGTAGGTCACACGGTGTCTGAGGTGAAATTTACATTCTACTGATTTCCTTTGCCATTTTCTCCCCTAGAGCATCTGGAGCTAAAAATAATGCTTTAAAGGTTTTCGGGTCTTTTCCGGGATGCGGTTGGGATATCAGGGAAGATATGATAAAGTGCATTATTGTTTCTCATAAGAGCGCTTCTGTCCTCGTGCCATTTTTACTTGTAGTGACTTTATTCCTGGAACTCTTTTCCCGACTGTCTACCTGAAAATCACTACATGGATGCCAGCGAACTATGAAATGATTAGGTGCTGATATGACAGAGAAAGTGTGATTCTTCCCTTAGCCCAGAAACAGGTGCATTTGGTTTGCTACAGTAAGCTGTCAGCACGTGACTCTCTGTGCTTTTTGCATTGTATGTCTCAAAAGTGCTTTTCAGCCACATGCTGTATTTATATCAAGGAGGTGAGTTCTCTAACATTTGGTCACCATTTTAATATTCAAGGTCTACCTGTTCGTCTTTCTCTCTCTAACATGCCTTTTTTTATTCCTTTAAAAAGTCCCATTTTCTCATATATACAACCTTTACCTTTCAGAAAAGCAAGAGGAAAGGTCACGAGTATACAAATATTAAGTATTCCCTAACGGACCAGACAAGTGGGGATCAGAGCCCCCTCCCACCTTGTACGCCAACGCCGTCCTGTGCGGAGTAAGTAGTAATGACGGACGTAGTTCGATAAAGCTTAAACAACTGCCAGTCTTTGTAGTGCTCACCTTTCGCTGGACTGTTGCCCGGCCGATTTATGAGTCTGTCAGTGGCTGTCTAATTCATTTTCCTACGCTGAAGGCTGATCACTACACAAGCTAGGAGTTAACGGGGTTGTGCATCTATCAAGTTGAAGTTCTCTGAAAGAAGAGTCTAATTTTTCTTTTGATGGGATGGAATTTGTTACAGAGGTGGGTAGCACCCTTTTTGATATGTTAAGACTGTCTGCTAAGTAAAAGTAAGTAAATTGACCATTAACATGTCAACACAGTCATGACCTCCTCATTTGCCGCATTCACAGAAACCTACTTTGGGGCTTAGACCAGGAGTCAGCGAACTGCAGCCCGCAGGCCAAATCCCAGCCATGGTGCGCTTATGTGCTGCTCGTGAATGGTTTTTCACAGGGTTCCTAATGTGCGCGCACACACACACCAAGAATAGTATCTGAGAGACTGCGTATGGCTTGCAGAGGCTAAATTGTTTACCCTCTGGTTCTTTATAGAAAAACTTCGCCGACTCTTGTTTAAACTAAAGCACTATAGGAAAACACTGGTTAAATCGATTATGCGAGTGCTAATTGTAGATTATTATTTTCTGCATATTCTAGTCATTCTATGGTATAACATTTGCTTTTTCCCCCTTAGAGTTTTATCTCTATTTGCTTCTACTGTGGATTTAAAACCCCTGCTGACTTTAATACTCTCTATGAAGAGTTTCAATAGCATAGATGAGGCTTGTATTTATATGTTTGTTCCTATTTAACACTGAAATGAAACGACACAACATAAGTGTTCTCCCCACCACGCTGCCTCTTCCTTCTGTTGCTCTTCTCTTTCCCGGCGGAGTGACAGGGAGGGTGTGCGCTGCGTCGCTGTCTCCAGTCATTTGCAGTGGAACCAGCTCATCCGGACTCAGTCGTTGCCAGAAAGCTCTTCCCGAATTCTGTCCCAACGGAATCAGCTCCGATGACTCCCTTGTTATCAGTGCCTGCCTGTGGCCAGCAGCTTCTCTGTCTCTGTTCCCACGGTTCCCCTTGAAGGGAACCGACCCAGGACACCCAGGGCCCCGAGCCCCTCCTGTTTGTTCTGTGTCACCCCTCTCGGGCCAGCACCCACAGCTGCTGGGTTCCTCGTCCTTGGATGCGTTGGCCCCATCTCAGGACCCCAGACCCCGCCACTGAGCTTCGTGTCCAACCTTCCCCTTTACGCAGCCAGATCCGGGGTCTGACTGCTCCTGCGTGTTGCTGTTGTGGGACTCTCCCCCATTCAGGTCCTTCTGCTTGAAATTAGAACCATTTTTTCCGGTGTGTACATGTCCCCATCTTTCAGGTCTAACTCAGGGCTCAGCGTACAGGCCTCCCTCACTCTGCCCACCTGGAAAACAGCTCTTTCCTCCCGATGCCCAAGAGAGGAGGGGCTTGAGGCTCTTACTTCACTTTAGCTTCGGTTACGTCGCTGTGTGTTCATGTCTTCTGTCCTAACATGCCAGCTCCTGGGGGCAGGAGCTGTGTCTGCATCAAAGCTGGTCCCCAAAGAATACATTGTGCTGTGTCTTACAAATGTCACATAAGCTTAAACAGCGTGGCTGGCATTTCTGTTAACATCGTCTTCCTTTTCTTTGCAGAATGAGAGAAGATAATGCTAGAGTCTATGAAAACGTGGGTCTGATGCAGCAGCAGAAGAGCTTCAGATGAGAAGACCCACCAAGACTTCAGCACAAAGTAGGTATTTAAACGGAAATGTTGCATTGGTTAATCATTTACAACATCTGTGACATTTTTAAGCAGGCAAATAATTTGTGAGTGTTTCAGCAAAGTGTATGAAATTAAGTTGTGCAGATCAGCCTCCTTTTTCCTCTCTTTGAACATCCTTTTTCCAAGGTGGATCCATTTTAGAGTTCACTGAGCATTAAAACCAAATGCAGAATCGATTCTGTGAAGGGCAAGGTTAGCACTTACTATTCAGAAGTGGTTTATATTAGTGGTGGACACCAGATATCACCATTCCTGCCATTTTTATTGGAGCTGATTAATCCAGGCTGTGCTGGGAGATGATATGTAGGGATCTGGGAAGCGCGGGCACACAGCACGGGATGGCTGGAGTCAGGACACCACAGTTCTCATCCCAGGCAGCTTCTGACCAGCTGTGTGACACAGGGCACCGGACAGCCAGGGCCTCCGACCGGCTCCACTCCACATCCCTCCCAGCTCTGTTGCTGGAAGTTCATCTCCCTTGTCTGCCTCCTCCCTGTCAATCACCTTTTTAGAGAGTGACCCATGTGCGATGTATGTTTTAATGATAAGTTAGAAACTCATAGTTTTAGTATTTCATGTTGAAATTCTTATTTCAATGAGTAGTCTATTTAAAAGCTTTAAACCTATTCTTAAGTAGTTTAATGCCTTGCAGACTTTTAGACATGTGCACCTTAAAAATTCTAATTTATTTCTTCTCCAGATGTGGACCTCGCCCTCTCCATGAAAAGATCAAGAATAGGTGCAAGACAGTTGATGTGAAGAATGAACTTGAAACTTGAAGGCTTGCGTTGTGGTCGACTCCCTTTTGATGAACAGAATGTGAAACCATTTAGAGACCATTGTATTCTAACTCAGCAACACCTGATTTCCAGTTACTAATTTCCTCAGATAAGAAATCATCTCTACAATGTAGACAGCGTCATATTTTATAGAGTTTTGTTTTACATTGAGGAGGTAGTTAACTTGTGCTCTGTACTCTGCAGATGGTGATGATTCGAATCCTAGTTATTGGCAATTTTTTCCTTTTTATAACCTTAAACATTTTAATTCTTCCCCCTCTTGTGGGGAATGATAGGGCAATTGTTAGAGGAAAAATGGGGAAATTAAGCAACAGCATCCTGTAGGAGTGAGAATGATTCCATTTATCATCACTAATCCAGTAGTGGAGAACCCATTTTTGATGGCCTCTTTTTTCGGCTAAATGATAATTAAACCAGTGCCCCAGGCTGTCAGAAGTTGACTGTCTTCCTTTGCATTGCCATTAAACTATCACGGGAATTTAGAATAAAAGGCATGTTTGTTTCTTTGCAGATGACCGATGATCATTAGCCTGTTGATTGAGAAGGTTGTGGTGGGGAAATGTTTGCCATATATATTTTTTTCATTTGTGTATTGTGTTTAGGAAAAAATGCATCTGTGAATAACCAGTATTTTGGTTATCAACTGTCACTGACAAACCACCCCCAAACATAGTGGCTTTCAGTAATTCTTTATTTTTTCCTCACTGTTCTTCAATCTGGGCTGGGCTCAGCCGAGCTGTCCCTCTGCCCGTCTTGCTGATGTCCCTTGCCGGTCACCAGGTTGATGGGGACAGCAGGGTGGCTGGGCCCCTCTCTCTGCACACGGTCCTCGGCCGCTCCCTCTCCATGTGCTCTCGCCACGTGGCCTCACCAGCGGGGCAGCTGCACCTCTTACCTGGCAGCTCCGAGCTCCCAAAGGTATAAGGCAGTAGCGGCCAGGCCCCCTTACGGCTTAACCCCAGAACCGTCACAGCATCACTTCTGCCCTCTGTTGATTAGAGCAAGTCACAGGCCCAACCCGGAATCAGGGAGAAGGGACTTCACTGGGGCGAGAGGTGGAGGTGTGGTTCACTGGGGGTCCCCAGCATAACAGACTGTCAGAGCTGGTGCCAAGGGAAAAAAAACCTGTCATTAGCAGAAGTAGAAGCTGCTAGCGAGTGACCTGGGGAAGCTGGAGCTGCCTGTGGGAGCTGGTGGAAGCGGGACGTGAGACAGAGAGGAGGCCTCCCAGACGCCTCCCGCACCAGTTCTGCGGGCCTCGGGCATCTTTCCTGAACCGTCACCTGAGAAAACTGGTCTCCTAAGAATGGCTGTGTCTAGGAGGCAGCATCTGAAAGCACCACCCTGTCAGCGTGGCCCCCGCAGAGGGAGCTGGACGTGGCATCTTCTTCACGCCACTGGTCTCCAGCGGAGGCCTCCACGCACGCGTGTGGCGGGCGCACGAGGAGGAGCGGTGCTCGCGGGGCTGCTCGTCAGACCGCCTCGGCCATAGCTCATTTTTGTTTTCACCAAGTGGTAAGATTGGCTAACGTGCTACCTGAAGTGCCTTCTCCAAAAACATCCCCCTTTGCCCTGTGTGTCGCATCATCATTGGGTGAGTGTGTTTCAATTAAAGTCTCGCTGGCCGACTTCGTGAAGACAATAAAATGCTACAGCGTGGCCTCCGTCCTGGAATTCTTGCTCTTGCTCCTGAAAGCAAGGACTAGGGCCAGCCCTGGTGATAGTTCCCCACTGAGGTCGTTTGGGGCAAGCAGTGGCTGCCATTTCCACAGACACAGTGTATAGTGTTCCCCCCACATAATCCTCCTCCCCAAGCCATTGAACTTAGAATAGCTTCAGAACACAGGTGTGGCCTGAAGGTGATTACCTTATAAGAGGAATGTAAGCGACTACTGTCTTCTTGCCAACCCTGTAAAGAAAGCGATTCAAGTTCAGTGTTTGCAACAAGGTTCTTGAACCCTGTTCTTTTTATTGCATTGTCATATTGAATAGTCCTCTGTTTAGCCTTGATTTCATGGGCATGTTTTGACTCTAGACTTTGGGGGCAAAGTCTTCACCAGCATACAATGGTTTGATTGTATAAATATACCTGCTCCGTTAAGTCTCTGTCTGTAGCTTCGGATCGGTTGTTTCTGCACTTGGAACGGAAACAGCTGATCTTGGCCAACCCTCTGTGTTACAGGACATTGATTTCATTGAGATTTCCCTCCACGAAGTCAGCCAGCTATCATATTAGATCAGTTTATGCCAAGACAAGATTATGATAGTCCCTAGGTTGCTGAGGTTTGTTGTGTGTCTGATAAAAGGAGATGGCAGGTTCTTAGAAGAGATTTCTCTCTGTGGGATGGAATCGGGCAGGTGAAGATGGGGAACTCGAGGTGTGGGTTTAAAAAAGTGGAAATGAAAGTTCCAAAGGGATGGTTTGTGAGGAAGTCCAAGGGCCCGGGGCCGGAGCAGGCAGGCAGAGTTGAATCAGGTAACCCGGAAAGTGGGTGTGATAGAGCAGTGTCCGTGGTTGGCTTCTGGGGTGCTGGCAGACAGAAAATTTGCACAATATCCCATAGCTGGTTGAATATTTTAAAATTACAAGCATAGGATTTTATATTTGGGGTGAAATTATCTGGCACATGGTATTTGGGTTTTTTAAAAAAGCCAAATTTCAGTCTTAATAACTTTTATAAAAAACAAAAATAAAAAGACACCTCATGTCCAGTGTGTGGTCCTCCTGAAAATTATGGTTATTCAGTCCATTGAATTCAATAACTTTTCAAATGTGGTTCAATGGAGTTGAGAAAGTATATGTAAGACTTTCTTGGTGTTTTGCCTTCCTTAAGGAGCCCAGTTGCTTTGGAAAAATCAAGAAAAGCCTCGAGATTATTTTTAGGGGGTTATTTTACTGGGGATTTTAAGAATAAGATAAAGTCTTGGGTTATTTCTAGTTCAGGGGAATGTGGAAAGGTATGCAATTGTGAAGTGCTTTGTTGTAGCTTATTAATCCGTAAGGGAAACTTAGACTGTAGACTTAAGTACAAACCCAGTGCAACTAGTTTTCTATATGTTGTTGGGGGAATGAAGTTTTATATAGCAAGCACATGGCCTCCCTGATTTCACAATGCCTTTTTTAGGATCTCTATTAGCCCTTAATTTTGTTGAAATTTTTTCCTTCTTCCTCTTGGAAAATAAGTTCCAAAATATAGTTTATTGTATCTTCCATCATTAAAACATTTGCTTTTTTTTTTACTACGGGCAGTTCACTCAAGGCAAAAATCTTAAACAGTTGGTTTTAGTGTGGTGTAGAACTTTACTGTGTATCAAACTAACTTTTACAAGTTTTCATTCTAAACCTCAAAACATGTGATTAATAATTTGCCTGTTTTATTTATGACCTAATTGTGATTCTTTTATTAATAAAAGCTAGTGGGAAAGGATCCTTTATTAAGCTGTTGACTAGATCTGCATTTAATTTTCCTGCAGTATATGAAGTATTGTACCAGAGTATTAAAAGATATGTAATATTTTATTGATAAATCTATCCTTTAAAAGGAATACGTGTTAGGGTGTCATCATTTTGATGTGAATCATGTAAATGTTGATAATATGCACTGTTTATTATACATTTAGTGTTTCAAGAGATTCACTTAATTGCCTTTTTGCTCACGTACATTATGTAGTCTATTTGCAATTGTTTTTTAAAAAGTGACATTAAAAGAATAGTTTATGTAGAGAAGCATTAGTGGATGTTAATTGTCTCCCCACCTATATTTATGGGTGTTAGTTCAACTGCTTTGCTAGTTGCAAAGCCATATTATCAGAGTAAAAGTGTATTTGTTAACTGTATGGGAACTAAAAATTAGGAATAAAACCATTTTCTTATATTACGGTATTTGTCATTTACTTCATCAGACATACGTGGGAAAATCTGGGATTATGGGTCACTCATCTCCCATACCGGGAAAATGCTGACAGTTAGCAGCTTTACCTAGAAGGTAAGTTGGAATATAGAGTTGAATGATCCAATTCCTCAAGAATTTATTGAGCGCCTACTCTATGAATAGCTTTGGGTGACAGAGAGGGAATTCTTTTTGGAAGAACTTACAAGTAAGTAACGAATAGAAAGTGTGCGTAGAATATACAGAAAATGATTGCACACAGAACTGAATGTGAATCGTATTGAGGAGGGATACGGAGGAATGATGCCAGGGAGGCTCGAAGGAGGAATGAATTCCGTGCTGTTGGCCGTCAGCTCCCCCCTCGCAGGAAGTCTAGCCCGCACATGAACACGGTCGTTTGCTTCTGTCAGTGCTGCGTTCACATTGGCAGGAAGAAATCATAAATAAAACAGGTAATTAGTTTTCTATTGTGAATCTCGGGATATCATTTCCACTGTAAAACACTATTGCTTACCTCTCAGTCTCAGCTGAGTTACTTTTTAAGAAAAAAATTTTACAAAAGATTTTATTTATTTTTAGAGAGGGGGAAGGGCGAAAGAAAGAGAAGGGGAGAAACATCGATGTTGAGAGACCCATCGATTGGCCACCTCACAAATGCCCCAATTAGGGACTGAACCCGCAACCCAGGCACGTGCCCTGCCCAGGAGTCCAGCCGGAGACCTCTTGCTTTTGGGAGGACATTCAACCCACTGAGCCACACCAGCAGGGCTCAGCCGAGTTACACGGTGTATCTAATCAATGCAGCTAATTTAGTTGGTTAGACCAGTCACCTGTCCATTCAAAATACACAGAATACCTTTGAAACGCTGGACACCGTGCTTGTGCTGGACACTGGGGAAAGCAGTGACATGCGGTGGCGGCATGGTGGTGGCGACAACGTTCTAATGGGGAGCTAGGCCTTGTACCAGTCAGAAGGCAGTTAATTATACTTGGGGCAAAGCAGGAAAGAGGAACGAGGCAATTCCAAGTGGGACGAGCGTTCTGAGCAGGGCTGAGCGTGCGTATCAGCTGGGGGGCGTCCACAGGGTCCGTGCCGTGGACCCGTGCTGTTCACCCGCTGGGCTTTCAGGAGCGGTGCCATCTGTGGTGCTGACCAGGAGATGCCTCATTCCCCACAGTCCTTCCCGGGTGGTACATCAGAGGGCAGGGGCCGTGTCTTGCCTTTGACATGTCACGAAAGAACCTTCTCTTTGTGTAGTTCCTACTCACAAGAAAAATCCCCAAGAAAATGTGTGGATTAAGTGCAAGGAATCCCTACCACAAACCATTGTGGACAGAGAGCTAAGGGCTTATTCAACTTGGTCATCTTGTCACTGAAAAGTTTCTGAAGAAAGCACCCACCTATGATGGGATCACGTTACGTGTGTGCTTTGAGGTGCAGTGGGAAAGGGACTGTGACCCCCAGTGGATGCTTTTGTTGAAGATGCTTTCCCCTCCTAGGAACTGACTGAAATTCCAAACACTGAACTTGCGAAATGGCAACGAGCCAGAAATAGAGATTTGCTATTATATCAATAGTAACCATTACCCATGAGTTGATAACTCATGTCATTTTGAGGTCAGGCGATTTAAATCCTGATGTAAAATATAGCTACTCAAATAAGGGTATCAAGAGCAATATAATACTGCAATAGAACACTTGTGGGCAGTTAATGGACAAAAGAATTGCCTTTGTTGCTGACTTGTCATCTGTACCTGGTTAGACATAGTTACACTGGACTGGAAAGAATTTGGGGTTCAAATTCCCTCTCATTCAGTGAAGATGAAATCTCCACGAGGGGCCAGGCATTGGGGAGTGACACAGTTCCTGCCTCTGAGGAGCCCCGTGCAGGCAGGGAGACAGATGTAGATCCAGACAGTCTGTTTGATTGGAGTAGACAGTGCGGGCATTAACTGCAATTGACCGCTACCTAGAAGAGCGACTAAGGGGAGCTAGAATTCAGTGGCGGGGGTCACTCTGTTCCCAGTGGGGAACCTGTATGTGTGTGTATGTGTGTTTGCAGAGGCAGAGAAACAGAAGCTGTCCTTTCATCTTCTTGTATGTTCAGTCAAGGCTAGTTTCTTCATCTCTGTCTAGAAATAAACATGTAAGTCAAATAGCTGTTTCTCTGTTCAACTCATCTCTGAACGACGGAGCATAATTCTTGTACCAAGATCTGTACTGATGGCCTTTCTAGCACATTTTACAACAAAATATAGTATATATGTTAGTGTTTTCTATAATCTATGCATCTATCTACTATATTTTTAATCATTCAGTTCTTGATGAAATTTGTTGACTAAATCCACTATTGTGAGTAATCTAGGCTCATTCTGCTGGCACTTCCGAGTATAATTTAGAGTGAACATCATGGTTCGGGACAAGGCATTTCATTCTGAATGTAATTATTACTGAGATCACATTTTTCAAGGGAAACGTCAAGTCCATGTTGTGGGGCAAAGGATTTCTTTTTTCTTCCTGCATGTTATTTTCACATAGATTCACAAAGTGGACAGGAGTTAAATTGCAACTTGGTTTTACAATGAATACATTTCCTTCATTAAGAAGGTAACATTGTGTCCAATCAGGACTATTTTAGAAAATTTTGGTGATCAGCTGAGTGGGTCTTCCAAGTGACGGTATTTGAAAATGGCCTCCTGACTCAGTCTTATGTGTTTGTCTTTACTTTTAACTTCTTTCTTGTGGTGAAATACAAAAAACATAAAACTGATCCTTTTATCCATTTTTAAGGACCTAGGTCAGTGCCCTTAAGTGCGTTCATGTTGTGCAGCCGTCACCACCGTCCGGCTCCAGACCTCTGTCGCGGTCACGGTTGAAACCCATCCAACCAATTTGTCTTTGTTCTTAAAGTTTTCCCCTTCTTAGGCTTAAAGCTCTCCTGAATTTTAAAATTTTGTCTAGTTTTTGAATACATAATACATTTGCTTAGAACAAAATGTAAAAGGTCCAAAACAGCATACAGTGAGAAATCTCTTGCATGCCATGGAGAGTGTTTCATTATACCCCCAGGACCACGAGCGACTTTGAACTTTTATCCTACTTTGAACCTTTGTGCCCCCTCTAAGGGCTGATTTCAAGGGCTTTGCATGTTACTCAACTAGGTAATGCCGAATTGTCCCCCGGGAGACCGAACCTGGTTATGTCTCTATCAGTCTGTTTCCCCACGCCTTTATCAGATTGTCGCGGTGTTACGCCTGCTCCTCTGTTGGTCTGAAATAGGTGAAAGATGATGGATCAGTGTAATTAAATTTGCATTTCTCTTAAAAGGGAGGCTGAGCATCTTTTCGGTTGCTTTGTAGATGCCTCTCTGTGAACTCTGTTGCTTGACTTTTTTTTTCCTATTAAATTCTGGATCTGTGTTGTTCTGAGTTAGGAATGAAGATACTTAATTCTCTACGACTGATGGACGTGGCTGAAATTACTGAGTCCCCAGGATCAATTTCTATAAAATGCTCCTCTTTCAGTGTGTGTGGGATACACCTCTCTCTGAGCTGTGGCTCAGGCCCTGCTGGGATAGTAATTCCCAGTGGCAGTGAGGAGAACAGGCTGGGGAACGCATTCTCCGCGCCCCAGGGTGCTGAAGCCGCCACGTGAGACCAGTCGTAATTCTACTGGCTAGTGACTTCAGAACTGAGATTCTTTCTCAGATCGGTAAGTGCCCAGCAGTATGCCTGCATGCGTCCGCTCAACCCCATTTTAATGAGTGCGGTGACTCAGGCATTGGGCAAGATGCTGTGGGGAATACAAAACAAATCTCTCAGAATCCTCGTCTGAAAGGACTTTACGGCCCATTTAGGGAAAAGAGACACACAGGCTGAATACAAGATGGAGTAAGACCGCGATGCACGAGACCTGGATCAAGACTATCAAGACTAAGAATGAGAGGAAATGACGATAATACACCATTTATTAGGGGTCAGTTACGTGCCAAACATTCCTGGAGGGTTTATACAGATTTTTCTAAACCTGCAAGGTAGGTACCCTCCCCCTGTGGCTTTGCTCACTGCTAGGGACCCGCGTCTGTAACAAATGCTCATAGCAAATTAATACAAACTGAACAGTTTTATAGTTTCAGAGGTCAGGAGTCTGAAATGAGTTTCACTGAGCCAAAGTCAAGGACTTAGCAAGGTTCATTCCTTCTGGAGGCTCTGAGGGAGAATTCACTCCCTTGTCTTCGCTAGTTCTGGAAGCTTCCCACATTCTTTGCCTCCTGGCCCCTTCCTCCATCTTCACAGCCAGCAAAGGCTGGTCAAGCCTGACGCTGACTTTCCTCTGACATCACCTACTTCTGACATTCCTGCCTCCCACGTCCACAAATAAGGACCCCTGATGATTATATTGGATCCACCCAGTTAATCCAGAGTCATTCCCGCATCTCAAGGCCCTTAATTGAATCATGTCTGCAAAGTCCCCTTTGCCACGTAAGGTACCATGTTAACATGTTGCAGGGATTAGGATGTCGACATCTTCGGGGGAGCCGTGATCCTGCCTCCCACAGCACCCTTAGGCCTCAAAGACGCAGGGATGGAGGGCAGTGGTCCTGGGAGGAGGAGTCCCCAGCAAGGAGTTGCCGGCAACAGAAGGGCTCAGCAGGGAAGGAAGAAATACCCTGACCAAGCTTCTTGCCCTGTGATCTCTGGCTGCCTCCAACCCATCTGCAAGTCAGAGGGCCAATGTGTCTAGGTGCCACAGCCTATAGGGCTGAGAATGGATCTGGGGTGGGGACAGGGGCAAATAAAGAAAAGCAAGCTCAGCCCCAGCCCGTGTAGCTTAGTTGGTTGGGTGTCATTCCGCAAACTGAAAGGCCACGGGTTCAATTCCTAGTCAGGGCAAATGCCTGGGCTGCAGCTTTGGTCCCTGGTCAGGGCGCGAACAAGAGGCAACTGATCAATGTTCTTCTCTACACTGTCTCCCCC